TTGGGTGACGTTCTTGCGCTGTCAGTGACTCGTTGGCGAGTCAGTCGTGTCAGTCGGTGTTGTCATTATGCAGGTCTCATTTTGGTCACCATATTGTTGAGATTGGGTTTTCCTATTACAAACTAACTACTTTTAAGGTACACAAGAAGACAGCAATCAGGATTTAAAACTCGGGTACTTAAATTCTTAATGTACTCTGTCTTACTGTTAAAAATAATAGGAGTCACTTTCATAACTTGACTCATGTGTAATTGCTTGTAGTAAATCCCAATGTGTCATAAGACAATCTGAACACATCTCAATCATTTACATAAATAAAGGTATACTCCTCAAAGAATATAAAAATATATTGACTTTTTGTACCAAAGCTCAACCAAACACAATAAAGATGCTAAGCCAGGTACGGTAGCACATGCCTGTACCATAGTCTCAGCACAAGGCAGGCAGAAGCTGGGGCAAGAAGCTCAAGACATTTCTGGCCTACAATTTTTTTTAAGAAACTTCAAAATTTATACATAAAATGTTTCAATAACTGGGCATAATGACTCAGGCCTATAACCTAGCATGTGGGAGGCAGAGGCAGGAGGATCAGCCTACTATAGACCATGCCAAGAAAAGGATAGTCTCCATAGAGTTCTAAGCTAGCCAGGCCCACATAGCAAGACCCTGCCCCCAAAACAAGCCTCTAGCCTAAAAGCAGACACTTACACAAACACAATGTCCCTGGCAGACACGTGGTTGATTCCAACGAGTTCTATGCTTTGAAAATGAAGCCCCTGTGTGAATGTTACGATCCTTTGCAACATCCATAATAACAGTGTAGTTTTAGATTACTGGTTGAGAAAATATGAAGAAAATGATTATAAACATAGAAACACCGAAACATCACTTCTTAAATGAAATAGGAAGTTTTTGTCTGTGTAATCCCCAGCAGCTTCTGGACAGCCGCCATGGTTCCCTTTGATCATGACTCTGTTATCCTCAAGGTGCCTCCTCAGGATCCAAGGTAGCTGCTTCTGCTCCAGCACCCCATCATTGTTCCAGCAAGAGGAAGAACACCGATGACTCTTCCCTTTTGTACTTACACAAACTTTAGGATCTCACTAACCCAGCTGCTAGTGTGGCTCAACCAATAACAAGCTTGTGATGAAGGGCCAGCTACCGGACCCCTGGAAACATCAGCTTTCCAGAAGTAGGGCCCAGCGTTCCTACTCAGAGCCTCTCACCCAGAACCCAGTCACATGACAGCACTCACCTGCAGGAGAGGCAGGAAAGCCAGGCTTTACTCTGCATAGTAGACTGGCTAGGATCTTTTTCTAAGAATATGCCGTTTAGTGATTAGAACTAAAGCCAAGCATATGTTTGAAGAAGGTTAATTATTTAAGGAGACAGCTAACGCTGTGAATTGGTTGAGCATGTGAATTTGAGGGTCTGGTCACACACTGGTCTCCATGGGAAGCCGCCCAGTGCCAAGGCAGTCTGCGTGATGTTGGGTTTGGGAAGGTCTCTGTGGAGATGAGCTGGCCAGAAGGAATGTGAAGTGGATGAGGAAGGGTAACCCAGTCACAAGTGACAGCAAAGGGGGCGGGAGGCAAACAGGGCAGCCTGGCCAGAGCAGCACATGTAGAAGAGCTTTGCCAGCTCAAAGCAGGGTGGGTGAATATGTATCCTAGAGAACAGGGTTGGGCACAGATTAAGGAAGACTGAGCGTTTGAAGGGCTCCATGGGCCACTAGATAAGTGGCCTTAGTTAGTCGTAGCTTACTTCTGTGAACTTTGGTCTCCTCATCTATGAAATGTGGGAAATAGCTGCGACCTCAGAGGGCTGTCCTAGGGTTACACATCTGTCTGGGGCCAGAATCTGGCAATACTAGCTATGCATCAAGTTTCCTACTAAGACGGTGATTTTGGAAAGAGTTAACAGCAATATGACAGCCAAGGCAGGAGAGATGCAGTCCAGGACAGCTGATGCACACAAGTTTGCATCTGGTGCTTTAGACAAAGAGGAGCTACAGTTGAGAGAAGAAATGTTGAATTGGTATCAGTTAAGACTACAGCCGAACTCTGTGCCTGAGGATGAAGATGGAGATGGAACAGCAGGTCTGAGGATGCAGACACAGACATGGTTGAGGAGGGAGGCTGAGGTAGAACATCGAGGGAGAAAGGCAGGCAGCATGAACGACTGAACAGGAGTGTACCACTCACCAAAACACAAGAAAGCAATGGAAAAGCAGAATCGGTGGCTGGAGAGCACAGGAAAGGGTTCTGAAGAGGTGACTCCTGGATACCTGATAGCTCACCAGATGTCAGAAGCAGCTGGATGTCGAGTTGGATGTTATCCTGGCCAGCACAGGCTATGCAGGGTCCCCTGAGCAGATGTGGGGTGGCATACTAGGAATTCTCAAGAGGCAGAGGAGGGTAAAGCTACAGGGCAAACAGGAGTTCGCCCACAAACTTCTGGAGAGCGGAGTCCCAAAGGTCAATAGATCATAAGAGTGGGAAGAGAGAAGCTGGAAAGGAAGGGAAAGAAGACTGGGATCAAGGCCTGGAGCACAGCGAGTGGGTGCGCAGGGAGGCAGGACAAGTTAAGAGTCTTCAAGCACAATCACTCAAATGTTAAGTGGTGTGCTGCTAAGTGCTCTTAAGATGCCCAGGCTGGACTGTACTGGAAAGGAGGAGCTGGCCCAGAAGCCCTGCTGCAGGAAGCACTTGAGCCTCAGTACTGGAATAACGTCAATTTCCCACTAATTGGGGCTCTGGCGATATGAGGGAGCACTTCTGATGTGCTGTGTGTACCTGTATGTTGGTGTACACAGAAGCCTGGAGTTTCTCTTTTCTCCTCCTTCTTCCAGCATCTGCTGACTCGCCCTCTCTCCTATTAGCCCCTGCTGGACTGTTAATGTTGAGACTTAGCCCCGGTGTTTAGGACAATACTTTGAATACACAACCACTCATGTTTGTTGAATGAAAAGCCAAAAGTAAATAGGATAATCATCCAACAAGAGAAGCAAGCGCTGCAGCATCTGCATTGGTAAACACCGGAAGTGGTTTGAGCTCTAGCCTTGGACCCTGGCAGGAACAAGAGTCGGTCTGCAGGTCTGCATCAGTCTGCACCCTGGGGCAAGCCCCTCCTGTATGCAATCAGCTTCACGGAGTTTTCTGTAAAGACAGCACTCTCCCAAGTGATAAGTGGATTTGGCAAACACTTAGTATGCTCAGTTTCTTCAAAATTCTGACCTGACAACAATGTATGAAAACAATTTAAACAGTTACAAATGGATTGCTGGTTCCTGTTGTTGTTTTTGCTTGTTTGCTTGTTTTGGTTGTTTGGTTGATTAGTTTGGGGGATTTTGGTTTTGTTCTTTTTATTATTTATTGATTGATTGATTGGGTGGTGGTCGTGGTGGTTGTTGGTTTTGAGACAGGGTCTTTCTATGTAGCCCTAGCTGTCCTGGAACTTGCTCTGTAGACCAGGCTGGCCTCAAACTCACAAAAATCCTCCTGCCTCTGCCTCCCTAGTGCTAAGTTGAAAGTCCTGAGTGCTACCATGGGGGGAGAGGGTGAGTATTTTTTTTAAGACAGGATCTCATGTAGCCTTGAATTTGCTATGACACAAAGAATGACCTTGAACGCCCAATCCTTCTGCCCCATCTCTAACGCTGGGATTATAACAATGAGCAACGTTACTTCTCAGCCCGAGTTCTTCAATGTCATCTACTAATGTTTACTGCAACCAGGAACCGCCAGCACATCACAACAAAGCCACGGAGACAGCCGGCCTGCCCCGTACGGACAGCAATTGTATGAGGAAATTACATGAGTTCTTTTACAGGAGACAGCTTTGTCCCGAAGAGAATGTAAAACGGACCTGTCCGCTGTCTTGCCACTGTGTTAGCTGGAATGGCAAAAGGAAAGACACACAACTTCTTCTGGAATCTAACCTTTTCTATTAAAACAAAAGCCAAGGGGGAAACACCAAGTAGCCCTTCTAAATTGTACTTACAAACTCTTCTTCTGTAACTTCTGGCGGCTCTGAAAGGAGACAAAAAAAAAACGTTACCTTTTCACACTCAGATCTTTCTTTAACTGAAATCATCTGAGACAGCCCCGGCCCTACTGTTATAAATCCCGGGTGAGCTCAGTAAAAGTTCATTATCCGCACATGGGTTAGATTTTAAGGTAGGATTCAAGGTGGAGGCGGGGAGGAAAGAGCTCTGGACTCTGGCTTGGGACCCACTGTGACCCCAGAGCTAACCTAAGGCCCCCAGTTGCAAAAGGAGAGCTTAGCACGGTACTAGGGCCGCCCTGGTGGTTCCTAGAAAAGGCAAGCAGAGCGGGGCCGCGGGGCCGGGGTCGAGCACGGTCCGGGTGCCGGGCGCTGCGGCGGGGCGCCGGGGCCCACCTACCCGCCGAGAGCCGCTTCTCCGGCATCCTGTCGGGGGGCCCAGCTGCCCGGCCCCGCTGTCTGGGGAGCGACCGCCGCTCTGCGGCGCGCGGCCTGGGGCTGCCGGCTCTGCGCTGCCCGCTGTTGCCATAGAGCTGGACAAAGCAGAGGCGCTTGGGCCAGGGGTGGCGGCTGGGGAGCGGCCGTTACTGTGGAGATCGCACGGCTCCGGTTGGGGAAGGGCCGCCGGTGGGGGTGGGGGCTGGGGTGGGAAGCAGACCCTCCCACGGGGAAGGACCTCAGAGCCAGACCCCAGTTTCCTTAGTTCTGGTCAGACGCCTGTGGCAAGAGGGAATAGCGTTTTCATGAACTCTGACCACTAAAAGTTGCCCAAACTGGGGACCACAGATTACGGTTACCTGATAATGCGTGTTCAGAGAAAGAGTTAGGAAAACAGCCCTGCGTGGGTGACACACATCTGTAATCCCATCAGTTAACAAAAGGAGGCAGAATAGAGTTACAGCTATGTCCTCAGCTACATAGGCCAGCCTGAGCTACAGTAAAGCAAAACCACAAAAACAGAATTTATTTATATAGAAAAGATGAAAAATTAAACTAATAATCATTCGAAATACTAAAACTTTTATAAAACATATAATATCCATATCTATAGTTCTGAATTTCTCCAGTGGTGCCAAATAAGCCCCAGGGCTAACTGCTTCCCCTTACCCAGCAGTACTTCCAATGCTAATGTCTAATAGGAAATATACCCCCACCCCAGCCTATCGCTCCACACCCAAGTCATACCCGTTCCCAAACCAGACCTTTGCTCTTCATCTTCTGGCCAGGGTTGGGGCAAGGCAGGATGACAGGAGTTCAAGGCCAGCCTGGGCTACATGAGAAACTGTCTCAACTAAAAACCAAATTCACTTTCATCCTGGGGCATAAATCTTATGACCATTAAATGATACATCTTCCAAGTAACTCAAGCCAAAAGTTTCCCCTCCAAACCCCACCTTCAGGCAAACACTGATATTTCTGTGTTGGACTCTGCCCTCGGATCCCACTAGCAGCCACACACAGTGCTGGCTCCCAGCTGGTCAGTTGTAAAAGTTTCCCAACTGTCTGTCTTTGCTTCCAGCCAGGAGTTCTCCTTAAATCCATTATCCAGGCTGAAAGCAAAACCAGCTATCTAAATGCAAATCTGACCCACTTAAAAACCGCCCGTGGCTCCACATTTGCCTCCTCCTCGGTGTGGGCAGGTATTTGTGTGCCCTTAAGACAGTGGGTGCTTGTGTTCCAAGAGAGCAGACACCTGCTCCCTGGTTGTATCTAATGCTATTTCAGTCTGACACCGGAAAAAGACGTAAGTGAAACACTGCCCTTGCCAGACAAAATCCAAAAGCCAAATGAAACCCAGAGAGAGCAGTGGAAGGGAGCAAAGAGGTGATGGGAGATGGGGTGGGGGTTCCCCAAAGTCTTTGTGGATCCAGCAGAGACTCGACTTTATCCTTTAACCTTCAAAACCTTCTTTGATCAAAGAGCCACTTTGTCTGCTGTGCAGAGAATACAGACTGCTCGGGTCCAGGCGGGTACTAGCTGATGGCGTCAGGCAGCATGGCTGTACTTAGGAGAGCTGAGGGCGGGGGTGGAGCAATGGCTGGACAGCATCCAAGTCCAGAACCTGCACGGTGGCTCGGAACTCCAGCTCCAGAGACCCCACCACCTCTTGCTGCATGGATGTAGTGTACGTGCTCAGGCACATACACATAGATAAACGTTAAAGAACAGGCGGCTGTGGGGAGAAGCAGGTATTTGGGAACGATTCTTGAAGATTCTTGTCTGAACACACAGAAGGATATTGTCATCAGCAGAGACAGGAAGGCTGTGCCACTGTCAAGGAAGTCCCTAAACCAAGGTTTCCAGTTTGCAGTTGACACAGGACTTGAGAATGTCAGCTTGAGAGTCAGTACACAATTGTTTTTCTGCCACCAGAGAAACTCTAACAGCCTTCTTTACCAGGAGCATTTCCTCCCATGGGTATGTTCGAATGGATTCCTATCAGTCATTGGCTTCTCCTCTTGTTCTTGCAGACCCATATCTTAAAGCTACAGTAATATTACAGTGACTGAGTCAGAAATGCAGGTTCTGTGCAGTAAGCTGCACAGACTGGACTGGACTGGAGGCTGCATCCGATGTCAGCCTTTTTCTCTGCACCGCCCACAACCAAGAGCTGACCTGAAGTGGCTGCCTGCTGAACTTCAGGAGCTCTGCATTTCAGTCACCTGCCTGTGCTCTGCTCACACTGGCTCATTCTGGCGAGACAGCCACATCGATAATATGTTTAGCATGGATGGTGTCTCACATTTTGCCCCCTCTTCCCAGGCCCTGAATGAGAACTTGAATAGGACAGCATTGTTCTGGGTTTATTGTTTAGAAAACAGATATAGAGAGGGTTTTTTTTTTTAAAAAAAAAAAGTTGCACAGACAGCTATTAATACATTTTTAACATTCCAAAGCCTTTGCCTTTAGATGGGGTGCTGGCTAGTTTTATGTCAACTTGACACAAGCTGAAAGCATTAGAAAGGAGACAGCCTCAATTGAGAAAATGCCTTCAGAGCATCAGACTGCAGGCAAGCCTGTAGGGCATTTTCTTAATTACCGATTGATGTGGAAGGGCCTAGCCCATTGTGGGTGGGGCCACCCCTGGGCTGGTGGTCCTGGGTTGTATGAGAAAACAGGCTGAACAAGCCAGTAAGCAGCAAACTCTATGGCCCGCATCAGCTCCTCCTCCAGGGCCCTGTCCTGACTGCCCAATGATAAGAGATGCTGAAGTGTGAGCCAAATAAACCCCTCCCCACCTTGCTGGTCATGGTGTTTCATCAGAGCAGTTGTAAACTCGACTAGGACAGAGGACACTATTCTATGCCCTTTTTCCAAAAAAATCTCCCAAGGTTAAAAACAACTTTGGGATCACAAAGACAGTAACTTGAACTCAAAGGCCTAGACTGTAAACTTCAAATTTTTTGGAGTTTTTTTGTAACTTTAATGATACATAAGTCATATGCCATCCGGTCAGACTCATGTCAAGTGTAGAATGCACTGGTTTTTAGTATTTCAGAAATGTACAATCAGCACAGTTAGGACATTTCCAATATCTCAAGGAAATGGCACAATGTTTAAAGTATGTCTCCATACTTTTTTATGAATAAGCAGTATTCTGTTATATGGTTACAGCATTTTCAACCTATTCATTAATCAATGGACATTTGGCTTTCCAGGTGTAACCATTAAGAGCGACTAGTGCCATGATTGTTTGTGTACATGGCTGTGTGCTGATGTTTTCATTTCTCTTAACAGAAGTGGTGTGTCAACTGGCAACTCTATGCTGAAATGTTTTAAGGAATAACGGACCGTCTCCCAAATTGTCTATACCAGTTTAATACTAGGCCAACACTTCTCACTTGAATTTTTTAGAAGTATTGTCTGACATTTTCATTATAATGGACTTCTTGGGTGCTACCTCTCTGTGGTCTTTAGGTTTATCTCCTCGGCGACTAGGCTTTCTTGACTTTCAGAGACAGCGTACCCCTCCTAATGCCCTAGTTCTAACTCAGAACTCTTCAGTGGCTGTGCTCCCTAAACCAGCCCCGAGGGTGTGCACTGCAGGCTAGTTAACCCACACTTTTCTTCCTGAGCCACAGCCTCTGCAGAGACCAAGATGGAGTCCTTTCTCTGACTGTCCCTACAGTGTTCCTCTCCCTTGCCTGCCTTAGAGTTCCCGAAACCCACAGGCAGTGAGGGCGGACTCCCAGACCACAGCTCTGAGCAGGCTTTGTTCTGGTTTGATTGTCTTATTGCTACACCATGACACTATAGTCGGGAATTAGAGTGACCAGCTAATCCACTGGAGTGTTTCCTGAGATACTGCACAGCCCCTCCGAGGCAAATGCTGCATGACGCCATCGCCACCCTGCCTGCCGAGCATTTCCGTGCTTCCCTCGATCAACATTGTCTTTTTTTCCCTGTTGTTAAATTATATACCTTATCTATACATAATCTATATTGGAAAACAATTCCCCACACCTGTATGACATTTAGTAGGAAAATGATGCTTTTGTTTCTGTTTTTCATACTTCCCAAATTAACAGTTCATAATTTTTGGAAGAACATAATTAGTTTAATATATTCATTAGGTAATTTCTTAGCTTATCCAAGTTAACTACCATCTGGGCCTGCTGGTTTAGATTTGCTCTAATTGTTCATAGATTCCACTCCATTGCTTTGTTTCTGGTGTGTGCTGATGAGGTAATTCCATTTCGTTTTTAACCCTTTCCTAGTCAAAGTTTGAAAATGCTAATTTATGGATGTTGTGATTTTTACAGGTAAAGAATACTTTCTTCTGGGACTACAGAGATGGCTCAGCAGTTAACAGGACTTGCAGCTCTTTCAGGGGACCTGGGTTTGATTCCCAACACACACATGATAGCTCACAACCATCTGTTACTCTAGTCCTAGAGAATCCAATGAATTCTTCTGGCTTCCGTGGGCACAGGGCATGCACATGGTGCACAGACATACGTGCAGGCAAACACTTACACACATGAGATATTTTAAAGGACACTTCTTTATTTTTCTCTCTTCTCTCTGTCCCTCTTGTGTTTCTTCTTCCCAAACTCACTTTCCTTTTTGAAAATTAATTTAAGCTCTTAGTGATAATTTTATGTGTAGCATGTTTTGCCTACATATGTGTCTGAGTACCACATGTGTGCCTTGGTACCCATAGAAGCCAGAAGGCAGCATCGGATATCGTGGAACTGGAATAACAGACTGTTGTCAGCCACCACATAGATGCTGGGAATTTAACTCAGGTCCTCTGAGAGAGCAGTCAGTGCTCTTAACCCTTGAGCCATCTCTCTGGTACTCTTAGAAGATTATTCTGAACTAACTTGGCATCTCTGATACCTCTAACAGATAAACTATGATATAGTCAATAAAAAGGTACTAAACAAGTCTTTTTAAGATTATGAGTTTTGCCGGGCAGTGGTGGCGCACGCCTTTAATCCCAGCACTTGGGAGGGAGAGGC